AAAAAAAAAAAAAGATGCTACTGATTTGTGTGCCATGTAGCATCTTGCCCATATTTTCTTCTATATATTTTATGGTTTTAGGGATTATGTCTAATTCTTTAATCCATTTTGAGTTGTGTTTTGTGCTTGGTGCGAGGCAGCAATCTAGCTTCATTCTTTTGCATGTAGCAGTCCAATTTTCCAAGCTCCAATTAGTGAACAAACTCTTTGTTCCATAGCATAGTCTTTGCTCCTTTGTCAAAGATTGATTGTTCACAAGTGTGTGGGCTAATTTCTGGGCTTTCTACTCGATTCCATTGGCCTGTGCATCTGCTTTTGTTCCAGTACCATGCAGTTGTATTTATTTTGGCTTTGCAGTATAGTTTGAAGTCAGGAAATGCGATACCTCCTTGCCCTTTCCTTTTAATCAGGAGAGTTTTGAGCTTTCCTGTGGCTCCATAGGAATTTTGTCAATACTCTATTTCTTTGAAAATGGCATTGAAATTTTTATTGGAATAGCATTGAATCTACAAATTGCTTTTGGTAGGATGGCCATTTTGATAATGTTAATTCTTCCAATCCATGAGCAGGGCATGACTTTCCATTTCTTTGTGTCTCCTTCTGTTTCTTTTAGCAATGTTCTATTATTTCTTTGTAGAGGCCTTTCACCTCTTTTGTTAGATTGATTCCCAAGTGTTTATTTATTTATTTTTTTGGTTTAATTATAAAAGGGTTGGTTTTCTTGATTTCTTCTTCTTCAGATTGGTTGCATATAGGAAGGCTAATGGTTTTTGTGTGTTGAGTTTGTATCCTGCTGCTTTACTCAATTGGTTGATTTAGTGGTTTTTTTAAAAAAGATTTAGTTATTTATGCATACCGAACTGAGGTACAGGCTGGAGGTGCAGCGGCGTTGAGAGGATTCACCAGAGACAGAGTGGGACCAAAACAGGCTGACTGATGAAGTACACTGCCGAGGGGAGCAGCGGGCGGGTCAGGAGAGGTCTGCCGTGCCATTTGGATCACCTCCGGGGCAGGTATCGAACTCATGCTGAAGTGGCTTTAGCTTCTTAGTGCTGTGCTTTATCCCGCTGTGCCACCAGGGAGGGCCTGGTTGATTTAGTTTTATTTTGATTAGTTTTTCTGTGGGAGTTTTTGGGTTCTCTATGTATATTCTCTTATCATCTGCAAATAGTGAGAGTTTTGCTTCCTCTTTCCCAATTTGGATTCCTTGTATGACTTTCTCTTGTCTTATTGCTCTGGCTAGGACTTCCAGTATTATATTGACACACAGTGGTGAGAGTGGACATCCTTGTCTTGTTCCAGACCTTAAGGGAAAGGCTTTCAGTTGCTCACCATTTAGAATTATATTGACTATGAGCTTACCACTTACGGCCTTTAGTATGTTAAGGTATGGTCCTTCTATCCAGATAACTTCAAGAGCCTTTACGATAAATGGATATTGAACTTTGTGAAATGCTTTCTCAGCATATCCACTGACATGATCATATGTTTTTGTATTTTTCTTTTTGTTTATGTGTTGCATTACATTCATTGATTTTCAGATTTTAAACCATCCTTGTGTCCCTGGTCTTGATGAATTATCTTTTCTGATGCATTGTTGGATTCTGTTGGCTAGGATTTTATTGAGAAATTTTGCATCAGTGTTCATTGGAAATACTGGCCTGTAGCTTTCTTTAAACCACATTTTTATATATAATAAAATTTTATTCACCTAAGATTGGTTTATAGCATCACATAAGATTCAAGCATGCAATATAATTTGTTATCTCTATATCCCATTGTCCTTAGATATTTTAATAATATTTTTATTGCGTTAATATTGATTTATATGTTGTTTCCATTACAGAAGTGTAGGATTTCCCCTTGTAGGATTTACTGCCATCGTGTGCCCACCACCCAAGGACACACCTTCTACCACCATAGACTCTTGTGCTTCCTTTTGTTCATTGTGTAGGTCTTCCAATGTCTTTGTTAGGTTTGTTCCCAGGTATTTAACTTGAAAGGCTCACTATTTTACAAGAGCTAAAGAGTGGGCATTTTGTGAAGTGACTCTTCAAAATGTATCAGTATTTGCACACTCAGAGATGAGTCAATAGATAACAATGCTGTACTTTATAATGAAATGTTTGCAAAGAGAGTAGCTCTTATGTCAGTTGGTGTAATCACACACATACAAATCAGTGCCATTCACTAAACTAACAGAATAAAGGAGGTGAAAAAAGTCATTTTTGAGAGGAAAAGAAAAAGAAAGTGATCGCTACTGTTCACTTGAATAAATGCTATCCTGAGTTTTCTTGCACGCATAAATCATTAGAGATCTGACTGGTAAAAACCAATATTCCAGGTATTGGGAGTAATTTGTTTGCTTCCATTGATGAAAAGTAACGGCGTCACTAATCAATTAGAAATGTAGATTCCAGTTGGAGAAATGATCAGGGTTTCTCACTCACTCGAATTCTCTTACAATGAAATGTCTGTGTGTGTGTTAGTAGGTGTTGCAGCGATGCAATACAAGGCATGTTTTAAATGTACTCTTTCTGTATCAATGCATGTTTTTCCCCCCCTTTGGTAGGATGGAGGAAGAGCAGCAGTTGGAAAGTTCAAAGTTACCTAAGAAGAAAACAAAGTTAGCAGAACACAAGAGACGGAAATATGTCAAACCCGTGGCACCTTACCAGACTGGCAGGAAAGCAAAAATTTCTCATTCACGTGATGTAGATGAGACACGATTCAAATGTGAATGCTTCTACTGCCAGAGCTATATGGGGAGCACTTCTGGGATCTCAACAGGGAGAAAGGAAACCTTGCGTTCTTCCTCCTGGGATAAGCTAATACAAGAACTCAATAACTTGACACTCAACACCGGTACCATCCAATCTCCACTTCTACAAGAAAGGTTTCAGGAAACAGAGTAAAGGGGGAGGGGGAGAGGGAGAAGAACCACAAAAGGATGTTTCAGAAACTCTTAAGAGAATCGTCATCCTCAGGTGAAGGAAGATCAGAACAGATGAGGCCATGGGCCCCAACAATGTCAACTCCTGATTGGAAATCCTTTGGGAACAAAGTGGGAGTAAGAGAATTGAGCCTTATGGCAAAGAATCTTATCAGTGAACTATTCAATTCAGCTCCAGGAATATAACAATCTTTGCCCTACTAATTGTAGGGCTGCCTATGGTCATGCTGAGACGAGTTCCTCAATAGCAAGAGCAACTACAGAACAGTGGTTCTATACTCTCTATGATACTGTTCCCACGATGCAAGCTATCATTTTCCCTCCTTAGTTTATGGCCTCTCCTCCCTTTCCTTGCCATTAATAAGATATAAAGCATGTGTGCAGTGTTCTGGCTTGTTGATTTTGAAATTCTTTCATGCCATTTTATTGACTGAGTCCCAGAAGGAGGACTAGGGGTCTGTGTGTGTGGTGGTTGGGGCGGGGATGGGGGGAAGGGGTTGCTTTAATTTTAGTTCATTTTTATAGTTTTAAATCATTATAGATGCACAGGAAGTTGCAAAAATAGGTCCCATGCACCCTTCACCCAGTCACCCCCATGAGACTTATATCTCATGTTCATATCTCCCTCAAGAGACATGCCTTACCATATCAAAACCAGGAAATGGACATTGATATAAAGCACGAGAATGGGTATCTGTTGTTTTCTCCTATGTATACATTTGTGTAACCACCACAGAGGTCAAGATGCAAAACTGTTCCACACTCCAACGGTCCTCCTCATGCTGTTCCTTTATAGTCACACCCACCAGCACTATCCCTAAACTTGGACAACAAATATAGAGAGTTTTCCATCTATGTAATTGTTTCATAATGAAAAAGAGTCATGCAGTATGTGACCTTTTGTAATTGAATTATTTTCATTCAGCATAATGCCTCTGATGTCCACAACAGCTGCTGTGTGTCTATCAAAAGCCCATTTCTTTGTACTGTTCTGCAGTGTTCCCTGGTTAGGATGTGCCATAGTTTCCAGCCATATACCTGTTGATGGCCATTTTGGTCTCCAGATTTGAGCTATTGCACAAATAAAGCTGCTGTGAACAACAGTGCTCAGGGTTTTGTGTGGATATAACTTTTCATTTATCTAGGATGAACACCTAGGAGTGCAATTACTTGGTGATATGGTTTGTATAGTTTTAGTTTTAAAAAGAAACCCCAAACTAATTTCCAGTGAGACTTCCAGTTTTTCCCTATCTCCCCCAGTACTTGGATTTGTCATACACACACACACACACACACACACATTCAATTTAGCTGTTGTAATAGTTACATTTAAACCTATGCTTATACCATCGTGCTCTTAGTTTACTTTTCCCTAGTGGCCCATGATGTAGAATATCTTTGCATGTGCCAGTTATGTCCTCTTCTGTGAAATGTCTCTTTGTGTCTTTTCCCCATTTCCTCATGGGTATATTTGCATTTCTACTGTTGGCTTTTTTCTTTAAATTTATTTATTTATTTGTTTGCTTGTTTATTTATTTGTATTTTACATCACTGGTCGTTTTTGTACAATATTTGCTTTCTCTCCTCAGGAAGAGTCCCTGTAAAATTCCCACCACCAACTCACCCGTGCACCATCATCATCATCCCTTGTGCTCTTCCTCCCCTGTTTTGACCCTCCACCCTCCTCCTCCCCTGAAGAATGTCTCTGGCTTATAATTTTGGTTTTTTTTTTTTAATTTACTCTTAATGGTTTTCCTGATCCCTTATTTGGTTCCCCTATATTCCTCCTATAAGTGAAAACATCTGATATTTTTCATTTTCCTTCTGACATTTCACTGATCATAATCCCTTCAGCTCCATCCAAGTTGCTGCGAATGTATTGTTGGGTTTTGAGAGTTCTTTATATATTCTAGATATGGGTCTGTTGTCAGATATGTGCTTTGCAAATGCTTTCTGCCAGCCCATAGCTTGTCTTCATCCTCTCAATGGGGACTTTATCGATTTTATCCCTCTAAGGATCATGTCTCAGAAAAATTCACCAAGCGCTGAGTCACAAAGGTTTTCTCCTATCTTCTCTTCATTGAATGAGTGCCATCATTTTACGATTTTCATCTAAATCTAGGATCTATGCTCAGTTAATTGTTGTATAATGTGTGAGATTTAGGTCAGGTTTTACTTTTTCATTTTTTGGTTTTGGTTTGTTTTGCCCATGTGTATCCAGTTGCCCCAGCACCATTTGTTTAAAAGACTATCTTTTCTCCATTACATTGCTTTTGCATCATGTTTACAAGCACTTGTTCAGGGCGGGGGAGGGGGCACTGCTTCTGGGTTCTCTAACCTGTCCCATTTATTATCTACCTTACTGTCAAATGCCACACAAGACTGATTACCGTAGCTCTATGCTAAGTCTTGAAATCAGGCAGTTATTTGTCCCATCTCATTATTCCTCAACAAAATTGTTCTGGTTATTCAAATCCATTTGCCTTCCCATGTAAAATTTAGAATAACCTTGCCTATGCTAACAAAATACCGCTCTGTGATTTTAATGGGAATTTCATTAAACTCGTGTATCTCAATTTGGGAAGGATTGACACCTTTACTCTAGTGACTCATCCACGTTACAAACGCTGTATGTACCTTCATTTATTTAGCTCTTCCCTGATTTCTTTTATCAACATTTTGGTGTTTCTAGCATACAATGTATAGTTTGTTAGATTTACCCTAGAATGTTCTGCTTCATTCTATTGACTGAGTACAAATGGTGTTGCATTATAAATTTTGGTGTCCTTGGTACTCATTGCTAGTATATAGAAACAATATTGAGTTGTATATGTTGCTCTTATATTCTGCAGCCTTGCTGAACTCATTTATCAGTTCTAGGATCTTGGGAGGGTGGCTCTTATTTGAGATTTTTCTGTGTAGACAATCATGCCTTCTGCACACAGGAACAGTTTTAGTTCTTGCGTATTCAAACCGTTTGCCTTTTCTTTTCTTATTCTGCTAGCGGGACCCTCTAGTACTATGCTGAACAACAGTGGGGAGACTGGACATCCTTGCTTGTTCCACATCACAGTGGAGAACTGTCCAGCCTTTCACCGATATTAGCCTTATGGTTTGTCTAGATGTTCTTTATCTCACTAAGGAAGTTTCCCTCTACCCCCACCCCACCCCATTCCTACATTTCTGCCAGTTGTTTTACTTATTCATTTCTTAATCATCTTGCACAGTTGTTGAACTTTTTCTCGTGCATTTTGTGTATAAGTTGGTAAGGTCACATGGGTTTTCTTCTTTTAACTTGTTATATCCATTTTTCTTTATGTTGAAAGAGACATTCTACAGGTAGGAGTGGGTAATAGGATCAAAACTGGGCAGGAACAGCACAGGACTATAGTGATGGCACATGGGTGAATTGCTGGTGATACGTCCACGGGGATTACAGCTGAGGTGAAAAAAATACAAAATGATGTAAAGAAAGAAACAAATAATAATAATAATTATAATTATGAACAACAAGCCCACACCTTTGGAGTAAAAACTACTTACTTGTGATGTTTAATTATTTTTATATATTGTTGAATTCTATTTTGTACCATTTTTTTTTAAAGATTTATTTATTTGTGCATGCAGAACTGGGGTAGAGGCCAGAGACTTAGGGGGTGGTGAAAGACCACCAGAGACAGAGTGGGGAGCAGAACAGGCAGATCGAGGAAGTACACTGCTGAGGGGAGCAGCGGGCGGCCATGAGAAGTCTGCCACGCCACGTGGTTACCTCCGGGGCAGGCGGAATCGAACTCATGCGGAAGTGGTCTCAGCTTCTTAGTGCTGTGCTTTAACCCGCTGCGCCACCAGGGAGGGCCAGTACAATTTATTTTTAATATTTGTCATTGAGGTAATGTTGTTGCACACTGTGGTTTGTATTTTGGACGTTTAGAGTCCCCCTCCCCCCTTCTGTACATGTTACCATAGCACCCATAGCTCAACACCAAAGTCTATTTTGCTCCCTCCCCACTTTGAGCTCTCCACACGCCCACCCCCAAGGTCTCTGTTCCATAGTCTGCTTTCAAGGGCTAGTTTTCAAGTTTGGCTTTATCCGACCTTTTGCTTGGTTTCTCTATATTTCACACAGAGATGACACCAGCCAGTATTTCTCTTTCTCCTTCTGACATATGTCACTTAGCATAATGTTTTCCAGTCCCATCCATGTTGCTACAAATTTAATAATTTTCCTTATAGACATCCTTCACCTCTTTTATTAGCTTTATTCCCAAATAGTTGAACTTTTGGTTTTGTTTTCGTTTAGTTATGAATGGAATGGTTTTCTTGATTTCTTCTTCAGAGTGATTATTTGTGTCTAAGAAGGCAATTAATTTTTGTGTTTTGCTTTATGTATTCTGCTACTTTACTAAACTGGTTTATTATTTCGATAATTTTTTCCTGCAGAGTTGTTTTGATTCTCTCTGTATATTGTTATGTCATCTGCAAACAGTGATAGTTTTCCTTCTTCTTTCCATATGTAGATTCCTTGTATGACTTTATCTTTTCTAATTGCTCTGGCTAGGACTTCCATTATTATATCGAAACTCAGTGGTGATAGGGGATATCCTTGTCTTGTTCTTGACCTTAAGGGAAAGGATTTTAGCTGTTCACCATTGAGAATGACATTGGCTATATATTTGTTATATATAGTCTTAGTTATATTAAGATATGTTCTTTCTATCCCAACAATTTCAAGTACCTTTATCATGAATGAATCCTGTACTTTATCAAATGCTTTCTCTCCATCTATTGATATGATCACATGGTTTTTATTGTTCTTTTGGTTGATGTGTTGGATTACATTTATTGGTTTTTGAATGTTGATCCATCCTTGTGAGAAATCCACATGGTCATGTTGGATAACTTTTTTGATGCATTGTTGGATTCTGTTAGCTAGGATTTTATTTAGGATTGTTCCCTAGTCATTCTTTAATGGCACTGTAATTTTAAGAATTTCTTCACCTATTCTAGATCATTAACATTCTGGCATATTTATGT